CCCCCCACCCCGCTCGTCATCACTGGAGGCGGGGGGCCTGTGCCGCTGCGTGTGCCGCTGCCCTGGCTGCCACCACCACTGCCACTACCGTGCTGACCGCGCTCCGCGCCCCACAGCGACCGGCCGACGGGCCGCGAGTTGCACCGCGACTCTCGACCCCACCCCGCCCCGCCCCGCCAAAGAGCCAAGAAGAAGGGAGTTCGGGAAGCGAAGGCAGTGCGCAGCCCGCGACGCGCAGACCAGACAGCCAGTATCTATGCACGGGACGGGCCTATGCCCGCAGGCCTGCCCGGCCTTGATAGTGAATTCGAGCAGCTGAGAGCGACGCGGGGCCCAGCGCCCAGCAGCGGAGTGACTTCGTCCTGCCAGCTGGCGGGTCCGCGTCGAGGTCCCCGCGGCCGCGCACCGCGCACCACTCCAGGGCGCGGGGAGGGCGAGCGACCTCTCCCCATCCTTACCAGCGGTCGCGACGCTGATGACGTCGCCGTTCTCAGGCCGAGCTGCTGCCTCTGCTGCCGCTGCTGCACTTCTGGGTGGCGATAAGGCGACGAGGAGATGAGATAATCCAAGAATGTCGAAGGCTCGGTTTCTCCGATGCACTCGGTCCGCAGCACTGTCGTGGGGATGGCAGGCACTTCCCCTCCACTCAATATCACTCACAACACAACACTTCACTGCGCTTCTTCGCGCGTGTCGCGCCCTGCACGCTCACGGCGACCGCGGCTGTCACCGAGGGGCGACCTCCGCCATCACGATCGTCTTGGACGGGGACGGGCCGCCACAGGCCCCAGCTGGCAGGGCGCGCGCGGGACTGGGCGGGCGCGCGAGTCGCGCCAATCGGGCGGCAGAAAACACAAGGTACCTGCGAGGTACCCGCGGCGACGGGAGCGCGTGGCGGGGTGGCGCGGGTCGCGGTCGCGGGGCCGGGTCGCTCGCTCGCTACTCGCACGGCACGGCCGAGCAACACAAACTAGCCGGTCGTGTCGGGTCGGCCGGGTAGGCCGGTGGTCCGGTCCGGCATGAGCCCGTCGAGCCACTCTCGCTCCGTCACCGGGAGGCCGGGCCGGGCCGCAGGCGGAGCAGGCGGAGCAGGCGGGAGGGAGGAGATACCAACTGACTGGGCCTAGAGCGGGGCTCTGCCCGGGGCGCCTCGCCGCGTCAAGCCACGCCACGCCACGCCACACCAGCCATCACACACTCGGTATGTGTGTGTCTCACTCGCACCCGCGGGCTCTCCCCGGGCCGGAGGGAGAGAGAGGGAGAGAGTGGGGATGGCACTCACGAACGCTGCTGCCGCCGCCGCCGCCTCGGCCCGCAGAGTGGGCCAAACACGATGGGCTAGGCCGGCCAGCCGCTCACGGCTGCCGGCCTGGGTGCCTACCCTACAGGCGCTCGGGCCCCCGTGCGGCCGCTCGCGCTCCACTTCAACTTGAGGAGACACTCCACAAGCAACGGTCATAATGCAGAAGGGAATTACGTTATCGCATTAATGATGGACATGATTACATTGACAAAAGTGCTTCATTTCCATATTTACACGATAGATCATAATATAACATTTGATGAGTTTTTGGACCTTTCAAAAATTGATAACAGTTAGGCTTGTAGAACTGGCCGGTTATGTTTCGCTTTCAGCTCCTCATTGTTGGTGGTGGAGTAGCCAGTGCCTCCCTGGAAAATAAATTAATTTTTATAAGCATGTTTACAACAAATAACAATAGATAAAACAAATGTATGTGATGAAAGAGCATACCCTCTGCAGTGGGATTATATCTTTCTCAGTGATTTTCTCACTGGTAAGGGGGTGGATCCAATCTTTCTTAATAATTTTCTCCACACACTCCATTGTAACAACATCTCCCCTACGAGAAAAGTACAACATTTATCTTAAATACAATCTAATGAATTAGAAACACCCATAAAAATGTCTACCTACGTTGTCCTTAACACAGCACATGGAACTGAGTTGCTTAAAATATCATGGGTCACAGCACACATGTATCGGTTTTCTTTGACAATAAGGGATTTCTTATCATCAGGGTCTTTGACTTCTGTAAACTTAACATCCAGGAGGTCTTTAATTTTTAATGGTTTTCCACTCATTGGGCAGTAGATGGTTTTGTCCTGAAAAGATATACAATGATAAGCCAATTTAATTGAACCAAAGTAACTCAATTTCAGAATTTTAGCTACACATACAGGTTTTGGCACAGCTGACTTTTTGCTCTGAGGAGTCATTGATGGTATCCAAAAGCTTGGGAGTTGCTTGGCACGCCCATCAGCCATATTAGACACAGAAGGTTTATCTTGTGTCGCTAAGGTAGAGAAAATTAATTAAAGAATGCAGCAATCAATTATGAAGACATTCGCTAAAGTTAATAGAATGCCTTACTTACTGGCTTTGAATGCATTAATGGGACTGCTTACAATATTTTTCTCTGTTTTCAGAAAGTTGCTCAGCTTTGATGATTTTTCAGCAGCAGCCAATTCGGCTAATTCATTCTGAACAAATATTTAACAAAATTGATGACAAGAAGCTAATTAACAAATCACAGACAAAGAATACATGATAAAGCAACTTACCTCGTCCTTCTTCTTTTGCTTCTCGTACTCCTTCATTTTTCGGCTGATTTCATTTTTCTTAGTTATCACATACTCCAAAATTGATTCTTTATCGAAAAGATAACCATCTGGCCTGTGTACAACATGAAAATTTTAGAGTTGTGGGGGAGTACTACTTGTTAAGACCAAAATACTGCAAAGAGCATAAACATTGAAAAAATTACTCACGAAATTACAGGATTTCTACATCGTTGTAGGGTTAGGCAACAGCAATCAAAGTTTTTGATAGAGTCTTTGCCAAGCCGTTGTCGCTCGGTTCCATATCCTGAAGCCTCGGCATCCTTCTTTTTTTCGTGATACGTGTAAACTGCTCCAGCAGTACAATTACGAGCATGTCTTGTCATGATGTGAAATGTATGTCAAGTCAAGACTAACAAACAATATTTTTTCCAAAACAACAGTTGTTGTCAATGCCTTTTATGCTTTCGGTAAGGCCCTTTTCTCATCACCATTTGGCCAACTATTAAATTCACCAAAAAGAGTTAAGTTGCTAAATGTCATGGCCAAATTTACCTATAAGATCGCTCATGATTATTTTCAAGTGTCGAATATTCTAAACTAGTAGTATTTCCCTAAGAAATAGAATTTGCGATGTTAAATTCGAAAAGGCATTCGGTACATGTATTGGTGTCACTGTTATAAAATTATCGGTTGCAGCTGGACAAGGCGGAGTGGAGATCTATCGGTCTTGTCGGCTGCAACTTCATGTGGTGTTATTTACCGTTTGACATTGACTTATTTTAGTTTTCTCGATCAAAATCAGCATTACAAAATGTCTCTGTGGATTAAAGCTGCTTTGATGAGTGGTAAGATGACACAGTTTTTCAAAACTGTTGACTGCGGGACCGATCTTCTAGCAGTTAGTCTAGGTTATGTTTACGACAAACATTACATATAAAAGTTCCCCTTTCTTCCGTGATAGGCTCTGTGACAATTTGTGCTATTTACATCCACCTCTATCTCTTTTCTCCTTCCATTTTTATCATGATGCTATTCTCTTTTCATTTGTTTCCAGGTTGTTCAGTGATACGTCAGGCACCAGTGCAGAGGCTGCCTCCCATTGCTTATGAGCAGAAGAGATTTGACTCTTATTTTACAATGGGAAAACAAAGAATGGGAAAGAGGAAGGGAATAAAACCCAGACCAGTTGAAGTAAAAGAACCTATAGTTGCTGCTGCCCTGTATGAAAAGGAAATTGATCGGTCCGTGTTCGAGGCCCGAGCAAAAGATCTGGTATTAACTCATTTCAATGTTTGTTTCTTTAATCAAATCAGAGCTTTATATAGATTATTGCATTTACACTTCTAGCCTGAAGAGAATATGGAAAATCCATTTGTACGTCCAAAACCCCAATGCATTCTTTGCAAGCACAAAATCACCCCCGATTACAAAAACATTAAACTATTGTCCCAGTTCATATCTTCTCAAACTGGAAGGGTGTTTGGCCGTCACATTACAGGTCTTTGTAAAGAACAGCAAGAACGTGTTGAGAAAGAAATACGAAAGGCTCGCTGGTCTGGTAAGTTTGTGCTTTTAGGGTATGACTTTTCTTTCAATTTTGTCATTAGATTTTTTTTAGTTTGGTCTATTCCAAATAATAAATTGCGTTTTATTTCTGCGGGTATTTTTCAGGGCTTATGGCATACTATTTTAAACATCCAGAATTCTTCAAAGATCCAAAGCTGTGTGATCCATCAAGGCCCTTGAGACCCCATCCGTACTAGATATATTTAAAAAATGAACATGGTCCTGTGTAATTGTAAATGGAGTGGGTCATTTGATACCATCTTGTTAGAATAAAAATTAAGTGCTTGTTATTCTACTTGATTTTTACTACCAAATGTTAAAAGACTTAAATGAGAAAGTTGAAAATTCATTGATTAGAAGAAAGGATTGGAATAATAGCAGTAAACAGTATTGACTTAACTCAAGCTACTCAAAGTCACCACTCTCAGGATCAAAATGAACCAGTGTTGAAGGAATACCAAGCTCGCTCAACAATTTAGTCATATCCATGTTACCTCCTCTCCTTTGGAATTCACTGAGTAATTCCTGAAGCGCTGCTTGACAAGCCTGAAGCCAGACTTTAATGTCTCTTCGGAGGTCGTCTGGGTTGTGCTGTGAACAAAGAGGAGTAAAAGGTTTAGTAGGTATTGCATTTTATAAGAAAAAGAGACTTTTAAGACAAGAATCACCTTTCGACAAATAATTCCAGCTTGACGTAATTCTTTGAGTCGTCTTTCCTTTAATCCAACTTTTCTTTGTAGAGTGTGCAACTCTTCAACAGTTACAGTTTCAGGCAAATCTAGTTTAAGTTTCTTTGCATTGCTTTCTTGACAATAACTGTTGTCTTTACTTGTGTCAGAACGGGAACTGCAAGGAGAACTGAAAGGATAGGGAAATTTTGAATCCCCTTTTCTGCCAGTCTGCGGTGTATTTTCAACTTTCAGAGCAGATTCGTTGTCTGTTTGCATGACAGGTGATTCACTAGATATAGGAGAAGGAACATCTTTTGCTATCTTGCCGGTGTTACTCATGAGGAACAAACCCACATTTGATTTGGGTGTCTCAGCCTGGCGCTTGCATTCTGTCGACTTGGCTGATGGGTCTGATTTGGACGCACTGGTAATTCTTCTCAAGCCAATTCTTCGGCAAGGTGTTTTCGACGTGCCTTGCTCCATCAGAACGACGAAACTAACCTCAAGGCACCACCCTACGCACCTGTCAAAACACGACCAATGATATATTTTGACACGAGGTAAGGAGTAAAGTGTTTTGTAGCTAGTTGTATAGATTTTGATTCGATCTCGTTGATCAATTGTCAATTTCCATTGGGTATTTAGTCTTCCCAGCGAAAGAATGGTGAAGTGCGGAAGGCGGATTCCGTGGCTCTTTTCCCCCACTACTCAGTTTCCTGTTGACTGATTGGTGAGAACTGAGTAGTGGGGGAAAAGAGCCACGGAATCCGCCTTTCGCACTTCACTATTCTTTCGCTGGGAAGACTATTGTTAAAAACAGTCTTTCAATCTCGCGCGCTGAATCATATTCACAGATAGTGAGCACGATTCGACTTCGAAAGTATCGATACCGGTTGTTCAGATTTCCCGCAGTTATTTGAATGTAGTTTCAAGTGCGAACTTGAGGAGGAGGGAAGATACGAAGCTTGCGCTTGCGGAGGTACGACCACAGACCAACCCAGCCAGAAATGCTATCTCTAAAACATCTAATCTAGTTTTTGACCATTTAGACGTCTAAATGATCAGGAAAGAAATAGACCTCAGACAAAGCAAGGACTCCGTTTAGAGGTAACATTTCTGCCTGGGAAACCACTACAGCGCCTTGTCCACTTTAAACCTCCACAGTCCTCTTGACTTGATCCTAAAAGTATTTTCGAATACTACGCCTTCCCCCATGGTTGGCAAAAAAATAGAAGCAACACAAACGTTTT